AATTGCCCAAATGAGATGAACAAGGAGGAGCACAAATTCTGGCAAAATGCTGTTGCTAAAATATAAGTGTAAAGTTTATTATATTTCTCCTCCTCCAAAATCTGGCCCATTAGCCAACAAGAATAAAATAAACAATTAAAACAGGTCAGAACGTTTCAGACAATACAGCAGCCTCATGCAGGACTCTGGACAGGGGGCACATATAGATTTTAAGTAGATATATATTCTAAATAAATAAAATATATATTCTAAATAAATAAAAACCTCACTACCAGCAGCACAAAAATAATTTATAGAGGGCAGATGTCTAGTAAAGAGTGTGGTTAACATTAGCTAAATGCCTGGGTGTAGAGAAATGTCCTTGCCCGGCGCCTAAAAGCCAATAAAGTAGATATCAGGATAACATCTTACAACTAGGGAGCCAGCTATTGGGAAAGCCCTGTCCCTGGTCACTTCTTGTCTCACTTCTATCGGCAATGCCAGTAGCAGCAGGGCTTGTTTAACAGAGTACCCTGCCATTCCATATGCAGTGATCATCTGTATAGTCTACATCACATAAGCAACTGATCAAGTAGGATGTGGTCAATGAAAGATCACACAAAAATAAACTGGCTAGTCCAGGAATATTTTGACAAATACCAAGTTATATATATTCAAAATAATAATATAGGAGACAAGCATTATATCTGTAACAAAGTGGTACTACACTTTGCAACATGAAGCCATTTCCTAAATCATATTGCAGCAAGGTGGATTTGTTGTTGAATGTACACTTGGTACAGTTTTAAAGACAATCATGGCTCCCTGTCTACCTTACCAGTACGATGCACGTTATAGGTATAACACTTATGTAGTCTGTGAAATGGCCCATATAATCACTATGTCTCAGTGGTTTCCTATGGGTGCTCTGATAAGTACAAAGAACTCTAGACAGGGGCCAACATTTAAAATCCACTCTGAAGAACATATCCTGAGTTCACAAAGCCCCACAGAACAATGGTGTGTTTGTCTTTTCAACAGTGAGCTCTGCTTGTGTACAAAAAGCACCACTGCTGGATTAGTGATATTGTTTTACCATGTCACACTACACTAAACGGCAAGAAATACACTCAGCGAACTATGGTATGGCACTATAGAACACACTATATGCTTGCATGCCCCTCCCACCCCACCACTGCAGTCCTATTTAATTAGCTGTCTAACACGAGCCCTATCTTACCATTACATCACAACTAACAAATTATGGCTTGTGTTTGCCCTCCAAAAACAGACTGCAAGCCATGGTTTGAAGGTAGTCTGCAATCCTGGTTTGGAGATAAAACAGAAACTATTGTTTGTTGGTTTTCAATAATGGTAACAGTTTAAACAAAAGCAGAACAAACCAATTAAACTGCAGCATTAAGGGAAGAGGAAGGAGCATACAAGCACAGGTCTAGCCCCGCATGAACCTACACTGAGGCTGAAAATAAATTTCCAACCTGTAGGAAGAGGAACAAAGACATATAAATTCAGATGTAACAAAAATCTTGTAGTTTGTTAACTCAAAACTCTCTGTTTGAAATAAAGCAGCATTACAGTTCACTGATACAATGGCCCTAGTTAGCTGCAGTGAGAGAAAGCATCAGACAGTTACAAATATTTGGAGTGACATTCTTTTAAAATGATAAAAGGTTCTATATCCTAGTATTTAAGTTCCCCTACCAGGATTTTTATTCTAGTCAACTTTCCAAGATTTTTCTTATGCAGTTACAAGGGCTTGCATTTTTTTTTAAACAAAGATTCGCTAAGTTAAGAAAAGTTGCCTTCTCAGACACATCTGGCCCTTATGTTCCATTCGTATAATGCATAGGTGACATTTCCAATACATGCTTTGCAAAGCAGGGACGCTTCTGTAACTGAACTATGCCTTTGTCATCACTTCTACCTACCACAAACTACAAGATACTCCCTTTCAGGGAGACTGCAAGAAACAAAGACACAGTGCTGCACATGTAATACCCATTTTCTTTGGTGCAGGAAATGTGATGACAAACGTCCGCTTTCTTCACTGTGAATAGCCCCAGGTCCCAAAATGACAGCAGAAAGAAAGAGAGCTGCTATAACTGTTATGAATGTGGGTTGATTTGATGTGGAAATAACACATGTTTTTTGCTGGAATGGATAACCAGATGCCCAGCTGCATTAAAGGGGCAGAGTGGCAATTTCATAGTGATGGATAATCTGGGAAAGCCCAGAGCCAGCAGTGGAGCACCCACTGTGCTGTCACCTTGTTCTGATGGAAGATCAGGTGTTTGCTTGTAAGGTGCCAGAGAGCCAATCAGTCCCATCACCAGATCGGAAAGTGTGGACAGCAAGCCCCTGATCCAGAAGTGGAATATTACCGGTGAAGTGAATTGTGGCAGGAAATGGAAAGCAAGCCCTTAGTTGCCATTGATTCAAACAAGGGTGTGCATGCTTCATCTATGTGCCCCTTTGTCTAGCCTTTGACATTGTCCAGTCCAGGAACCTTGTGGGCATGAGCCTCAATAAACTCATTGAGAGGTAGGCAGGTGTTGATCCAGCCCTCAAACTAAGGAGGATAGGGGATGTTCTGCAGAGTGTAAGTCTCCGGCTAGAGAAAGAAACAGAGAACAAATGCTAGCTAATCTTGTTTATCTTTTCCTGTGCTGTAGAATATTTCCTAACAATGGCTCCGGTCACATGGGCAGGAAACTGCGGGGGGGAAGCGTGGCTGTTTGCCCTGGGGCAAACTAACGTGCGGTTAAGCGATCAGACCTCCTGTGGAGGTTCTGTGGAGGTACCGTGGAGGTTCCGTGGGTAGGGAGAGGTGCCGATCACAGGACACGCCTGTGCGCAACGAAGAAGCGAGCAGTGCGGCAAACTGGTTTTCTTTTTTTGTGTACACGACAAATGCGCATGCTCCGTTGGGTGCGTGTGCACATCCACGGAGACCTGGGGGGGGGAACTTTTTCACAAGGGGACATGGGCGGGCGCCGGATGCCACCGGAAACGCGATTAGACGCCCGCCCTTGCCCCGCAGTTTCCAGAAATTAGTACCTCCAAGGTACTAGTTTTTTGCTGCGTGTTTCTGGCAGGAAGCCTTGGTTGTGCCACAGAAGCGCTACGCTTCCCAGATGTGCCGGTGAGATTGCGCCCGGAAAATCTGCCTGTCTTCCGTCTCTCTTGCGTGGCTAATGTTCTGTGTGACCGCAGCCTATATGTGCTTTCCGTTTAAATTAGACTGATCGAGGAATAAAGCTTACTTTAGAAAACAGAGCCTGATCCTTGAGAACTGTCTTGCTTAAAAGGACTCCAAGTCATGTTAGCTCTTAGATTGCTGGGAAGTCACACACAGGGAGCTCAGAGGACAGTTCCATCTCTAGCTGAGACACAGAAACCCAGAAGGGAGGGAGGAGTAAGAAACTGGGAAGAGTAACCTCATCCTCCTCTCACACGTACAACTAGCTGAGGTGGACCCAGGACCATCTCCTCCAGTATTATATTGGGAAAATCCCCCCTTGCTTGGGTAGTGGTGGTGCTTCTATGATTCTAATCTAATCTGGGCAGAAGAAGCCCAAATTGGATAAAGTCTATCCCTACAAATCCTGTCTGTTTAGTGCTTTAGCTCAAGCATTGAGCCCAGCAACAGCAGGCAGAAGAAAGTGAGCTGTGTGTCTGCTGGGTAGGATCCATAACCACCACTACTACAGGAAATGTGATAAGTGTTACCAAGTTCAGATCTGAATTATACTTCTATGCGCTGGTAAAATGCATAGAAACATCAGCCATTTTGGAATGTGTAACATTTGACAATTAGGCTGAAAACAAACAACCATGTTACACTAAAATATAAAACACCATGGCTTGAATCCAAAGATGCCTTCTGTTCATGGAAAGACAATCCTGGATCCAAAACAATATGAATGTTAAAATGACTTTCTATGTGAAAATGGCAGGAAATTAGAAATGACTGTTTCTAATGTGTCATAATTACTATGAAGGTGATTTTTCTTAATGGTGAAGAAAGAACCATTTGTTTCTCTTCCTTTTACATATCCAAGGTGCCTACGTATCAGTATTCTGAACTACTATGTTGAGTACTATATCTAGGGAAAAAATAAAGTACAATAGTTTGGAAAGAACTCCAGTTACTGAGCTGTACTTTTAAATTCTAAACTACTAAACTGTTTTAAGGCACTGATTTCAATTATGATCTTCAAGATCATCAATAGCCAGAGGTCATTTCGGGGGGGGAACGCGGGGGAACACAGTTCCCCCGGGTGAGGTGCAGGGGGCGGGGCACATGACAAAGCCCCGCCCCCCGCTTCTGGCCGCCCCGCTTCCAGCCCTCATTCAGCCAGGAGGAGGCAGGAGAAGAGCGAGGGTAAGTTGCTTCCTCCCCACCACTCCCCACCCCTGCCTGCCTGGGGCCAGGGAGGGCCTTGGCGGGGCTTCCTCGCACTCCCACTGGCCTTGCAGGTCCACCGCCGGGCCCCTGATGTCAGGGGGTGTGGCATATGCTAATGAGTTATGCTAATGAGTTCCCCTAGCTCTTTTTCTATGCAATGACCCCTGTCAATAGCTATATGAACACAGTACTTGTTCACTCTCTCACTCTCTATACTATACTTCATTTACTATAGATTTCATAGCGCAGAAGTGTTTGTAAATGGTATGAACTAACAGCAGGAATAATTCTCTTTGCTTTTTTAAAGTGCAAATTTGATATTATGTTTGTATCTTGTTCAAATTAACACCACACCAACTATAAAAAGACTCAAAAGCATGCAAAAAGACTACTGACCCAAAAACACTGAAACACTGAAAAAAATACCTTCATTTTTGTCTGGCGATGATGAACCTATGGCACAGAACAACAACTCAGTATGTAGTGTTTCTTTAAAAAATATTTTGACCATATCCTTTGGTCAATGATTGTAACACTATGTATATGGCTTAATGTTAGTACAGTGGTAAGAGTGACAGGTGGCAATACATACGCTGAGACTGAGACACAACTTTTGTTCGGCTACGGCCCCTGGAATCTGTCTTTGAGTTTCCAATGCCCATAGAAGGTGTTGAAAGTTTGCTTCGCACGCGTCCTATAAAGGGAAAAAGTCATAGAAATTGGAGGATTTGGTGAACATAAACATGAAGAATATATTACAAACCAGGTCGCTGCTCTAATCCAATATTAACAACTCCTAATTAGAAATTAAAATGTTAAAATATAGGCTAGTTTAGAGTGTTGCATTCTTGATTGGTGAATGCAAGCAGGAAGGGACTTTATCACAACTTTTTAATAGAATATACGAATGTTAATTTTAAAAGAAACTATGAAGAATGTAAGATTAATATTTCAAAAATTATTCTGAGTTAAATGTAGAATTTTGGTAACCAACTTACAAACATGCTTGTTAAAGACTGGCATGAGTAGTGGGCCTGGCAATGTACCCAGAAGTTATACTTAGCAATGGGTCAATTTTAGGTCTGTAATTAAGATGGTAGCTTTTTCATTTCTTTGGCCCTTCTTATGCATGTCTAGCTTTTGCAATTCGCTTGTACTGCCAGCACTTATAGGCCTGTAGCAAAACGATAGTTCGCAATAATAGCTTTGAAAAGTAATAGTAAAATACTGGCCATTTTTTCTGTGCTTTCTATTTTCTATAGTATCTGTTTTAGAGAGAGAAAATATTTTTGTACAGTAACGTAAGCAAGCCTTGAAGCAGAATCCACCCATCTTCCATACTCAAGTTGGATTTGTCTAAGATCAGAAAATCAAACTATTTAGAACTCTTCCGTTGTTAAGCAGACTTTAGCAGGATGGACATGTAGCAACAGGATGTCTAAAGTTGAAGAGACAAATTCTACATTCCAAATCCTAACACTCACTGAAACATTTATCTTGCTAATATTAAAAAATATCTTATCGTTAAACTAAAATCCAGAAGAAAAGTAGAAAAGACTGAGACAGTTCAGCACACAGCCTTGTTAGATATAATTCTCATTCTTTAGGCTTCCTACGAAAGGATTTATTCACCCAAGTACAGAAGAAAGTCCACAGAAGGAAGTCTACGAGAAGAGAGCTAGTATAAAAATTTACTGAGTTATTAGAAAGCAGTGTTATCCATTTAAGATTATTAAGCACAAACAAGTTTGACTAAACAAGAACAACCACACCCATGCAATGAGAGCATTTCCTCCATCTAATATAATGCGGTGAAAAGGGTGTGTGATTGCATAAAGACTGCCCCTGCAAAGGATGGGAATACAGAGTGCCACCATTTTCTTATGATGCTAAATAACTACAAAGATACGATCCAGCTTCTACTACATCAAAAAAAAAACCCACATTGCAATTGTTCTGATTCTTATCTGAATCAAAGTGCTTGTTCATTAATGCCAAGAGAAGCTTGAATCCCAACAAACAGTAGCACCTGCTTCCCCAGCGCATGAGAATGTCCAGCATATTGAAGCATCACTGATAACTTTTACAACACAAGGGAAACCAAAATTTTGCACATATAAAATGAAACAAAAATCAGTAGTTTTATTTTGAATGGCTGCTTAAAAATAGCATAAAATGTTGCAAAGAAATATTGCAGAGACACCAAAAGATTATTAGGAAGGCAACTAAAATTAACCTTAAAAGCCACATGACTATGTGCTCTGTACAAGACTATAGCTTATGACAATGGATATACGAGATGGAAGCATTTGCTTTCTAGCAGAAGATTATTTTTCTTACCATCTTCAGAAGCTGTTCCTAAATGGGGGGAAATATTCAAACAATGATACGCCAAATAAAATATCTCTAATCTTGCAAGAAATCATCGTTAGGAAGCCAGAGGACATTCGTAAAAGTAGTCTCATTGCTTGACAGCACATTTTAGTCCGTACTTTCACTGAAGTTACAGTTTAAAAAAATCAGTTGTTCTCTCCAGTCTTGTCAAATGAAAACTGCAGCACTGCACTTATCCATGTCAGCCATTATCATTAAAACCATGTCGTATCTAGTCAAACAACAGATGTGACTTAACTTAATGTAAAAAGATGTAAAGAAATCACCTGAATGTAATTTACACAAGTCCAGAACAAGTTTCCAAACTAGCTCTAACTTCACAGGAAGAGAGGCAAGTCCCAGACATTAAATTAGGACGACACTTTCAAGCTAAATTATATGATGAGCCCACTAAAGTAGGCAAGGCCTACAGGTGGAGAAAGTTGCAAAGACAGATGAAGCAACTGAGGACCAGTCACAAGGATAGTACAGTAGCAAAAGGGCTGGGTCCAAGTGCTTGGGGTATGGATAGCCTCTCCTTCTGATGAGGGAAAGATAAGGAATGCTTCCATTTCCCCCACCCTCACATCATCTTTGAATATCCAAATTAGGCAGGAAGAAGAACACAGTAGCTGGGAGAGATTAATGGAGATGCAAGCACAGCACTACTTCCAACTTAATTAAATGTGTCATTTATCATTGGACACCAAGAGAATGAATGGGATTACAAATGTGTCAGCAACATATGAGCTCTGAAGGGGTTTAACAAAGGTTGAGATACTGGCTCTCCCCCTGTTATTTACTGTTACTAACTCTGCAGTAGATGAGGTGGTACAAGCTAAGAGCAGGCAATGATACCACAGTCATTCTACAAAATGAGGGACTAACAAGTACTAATTTGCCCCAGCCATTCCAGTGACTTACTGCACAGTTATGATTTGGGATCCAGATCTTTTTGGTTTCAACATGTGGTCACAAGTCAACTGGCCAGTCAAAAAAAATGTTAACTGGCTGCCTACTTGACTGCAAGAATGCCACTGTGAAGGTAGCAGTTTACCTTTTTATTTCATGGTGACATTATCCGCAAACAAGGACTTGTTACTTGCTGGGACAATCTACACAGCATAGCAAGGTTTCTCGTCCTAGCCATCTATACAACTGCAATCATTTCCATACAGCAGGTACTGGTCTGCCACTTATTTACCACAACTGATTTTAAATACTGGCTTTAAAAATAATTGCTGTTATCTTTTGCTTTAATTTCTTTTTTAAAAATTAGGTTGTAAATGATTTTTTCAGATTTACAAAAGTAAGGAGACCTTACTTTTAAAAAAGAAACAATGAAATCAACAAGTTTGCATAAATATCAGACTTTTTGATTAGCCTGTCTTTTGTTCTAAAAGTTAATGCTTTAACAATACTTGACCAAGCCCTTTTTTGATTGGTTAAATGTCCAATCCCATTTCCACCATGCTGCAGTAATCTACCAAGATGCAAGAACTAAGAAGTAATTATGATACATATACAAACATACCCCCTCTCACTTACTCTTTCTCTCCCCCCACCATTAATGGTCATTCCCTTTATTGTAACTTGACAAAACAACATAAGAGCAACATTTACATTAATACTTAGCATGCTGAATACTCTGCTGGACTGAAGCCAAAAAACATTTAGTAATGCTATAATCCAGACTGAAAATAGGCAGCATATATAAGAAACCGTCAGTTTAATGCAAGTAGTGGAATTTAACAGTGCTCTCATTGAAGATGTATACAAAAGTTCAATTTCTCCTAGAAGCTCATATGTAAGTAATGGAGAAAGTAATTTAGATATCATTGTGGCATCACTCTGAACACCTGCAAAGTGAAGATTTTCTTTAGTAGTGATAACTGGAAACGATATATGGAAATAGTATCGCCACAAGTCACATTACTTTTAAAGAATGTGGAACATGTGGTGGTAAGTTCGGGAAAAGATTTTCTCCCTCCTATTTATAGTCTAATTTTCTATTTAACGAAAGTGGCACTAAGAAATTATTAAATTTTTGCATCTATTAAAAAGCTAATCCAAAAATGATCCAAGGGGCATTATGCCTGACAGTTATTTGTAACTGCTCTCATGAACAAAGAGTTACAGCGCAAGATACATTATCACCTAGTTGAATACAGATGTTTCTCTATATTGAAAAAAATTGTTTTAGGAAGAACTGTGAATATCAGATTGAAAGAAAAATCCTTTTTCATTGTTCAACACACCCCATTCTGTAATGTGCCCAGGTTTCAAAAGAAACATATTATGTGGAAGTTCTAACAATGTACAGTTTGGCTTCTCATATTTGTGGTCCTTTCTTGGAAAGTCCAAAAGACCTTTAAAGAAGAAATGCAGCCAAGCCACACAAGGGACAGAACCTCTATGAACATCTTGGCAACAGTTTTTTTTAAACCCATCCAAAAACGAAGGATCAAGATTGAGTACATGGGTGTTTTAAAGCCCTGGGTTTCTGTGGCAGCTTTCCACGCAGCTGGACAAGCCACTTTCAGAATCTGAAGAATATTCTTCGGAAGTGGATTCCAAAGCGGTCCTGCAAGCTGCTAGTGAAAGGAGAAGCCCCAGGATAACCCCAGAGGGCATGCACAAGCAAATGTTTTCATTTTTCTAAAATCATAGCCTGCAAATTGCAAATGCAAAGTGAGCAAGTTTACTAGGTTATGGGAGACAAAATATTTAAAAGAACTTTAATTTAAAAATTATAGCTGCTACTGAGAATCTAAAGTAAAGATTTATGAATTGCTAAAATAAATAAGGTTAACAAATATGGTTAAAACACATACAAACTTTATGAGAAGTGAGTAGAAAGTCACCATTCAAATTGAGATTGAAGTGGAATATGTTAGCTGAAACATGCAGAATTAGTCACAGATTACAGGAGTATGAACATGGAAAATTATTCAAAAATTGGATGAGTATGGTATACAAACATCATATTATGTGAACAGAAATCACAAGATTAATAGGTTTTAACATGACAGACAAAACAGTTATCTTACCATCCATCTTGTCAGAAGTATCCTCTTTGTTGGAAGAGCAGGCGAAGAAACAGGGAAAACTTAGTGTGTTAGATAAACAATGTTCACAAATTCATTATTGAAGATATATGAATACAAAGAGTTTACAGACACTTTGCCCTGAACTCATGCTTGTGCTATCTTTGGAAGGTGAGCAATTCTCAAAGTAAAGTATGAAAATTCATAACATGCATCGTTACCATCTCTGTTATAACAGGTCTATCAGCATTTCCAGATTTGTACAAATGATAAAAGCGAATCGTATGAACTTTTGCAGGATAATATCATGGCTTAAATGTCAAATTTGTGTTCACAGCATTAAGTAACAGCTTCTTCAATAATCCTGTTAAGATCATGAAGTTCTGAAGAAGGAAAAGTCCAGCATAGTAAAGATGGGAGGAAAAAAGGAAAAATAATACATGCAGTATCACTGAGAAAAAATAAAACAAAGCATCAATTCAGCTCTAAGTACAAATGCCTGGAAAAAATTAACAGAAGAAAAGACTAGCTCCAATAGTAAAGCAGGATAGTTTACTATCATTTACACACAAAATAAAATAATTATATAACAGAATCCAAACAGAATCAAGTGGTCACTGCTCAATAATTCTAGATACGAAGTGTCAAGCAAGCCAGTGCTCAATGGATTTCAGGTACAGACTGATCTATTTTGCCAAACATCTTCTTAAAGAGCACCATATATTGAATTTACAACAATACAGTATGTATCACACTGAGTTTAGTACAATCAGTCCATAATATTACTGTTAAGCTTCACCTGGATTTGGCATATGGTAGACAAAGATACCATGAAGTTTGGTCAGCAAACTGCTGACAAGAAAGAAACCAAATTCAGGGGAGGCAGGGGGGGGTAGGGGTTGAAGGTAGTTGGCGCTTAAGTAGCTTGCACTACCCTACATCCACCAGCCTGCAGCTGCAGCCAACAGCAAATACAGTCCTAAGGGATGGGTACACATACATACTGGATAGTGGTAGAGGCCCTTGTTTCACACATCCTTGCCTAAACCACAAACACCACAAATCATGCACAAAATAATTCTCACAAAAGCTAACAGTCAGGAAATGTCTTTCCATGAGGAAGGCAAAACAAATATTTAGTACATTTCATACTGCTTTTCAATATGCTCCCTTCTATGCCAGTAAAGGGCTTGTCTCCATGAACCAGCAACTAACCGAGAATCACAGCAAGGAAGCTAATAAATCCAAGGGAAACATATACAAAATAGGGTGAAAAGGTGAGACATGTTGTGGCTCAACACCAAAGTCATGACCCCCTTATAGTCCCCATATGATGTGGCTGGTACCACCACACACATCTGGCCGTTCTTTCCAGGATGGGGGTTGGGGAGACTCCCCTGCCCGTTTCCTGTCTGTTTATCCCTTGCCAGGCACAGATAACACCCCAACCAGAGGGCTGGGAACTGAATTTACAATTACAAAAAAGAAAAAGAATAATCCCAGTATATTTTTTACTAAACTCCTAATGGAAATGTATTTATCATTCAGAGCAGTGACTGCCATCCTTTACAATGAGACATCTGAACGCTCCCTTGTATCTACCATTTCCCTGTCCACCTTCAATTCTCACTTAGTATGTGAAATGTATTAGCATCCAGTACCAAATGAAACACTGATTTAAAGGTGACAGAACTACAACCAGAGACAGAGAAAAGTAACAACAGGTAAGCCACATTTCAAGCATTATCAAAATCTTCTCAACCACCACAAAATAAGGTTTGCAGGGAATCACTTGGAGCTTAGACTTGGGGAATAAAAAGTGAACTCATGAGGAGGGTTGCATTACAAGGTCTTTAGTTCATATAACTTCTAAGAAAATACCCACAATCATAATGCAGCACTAGCACAGGATCAGACGAAGTGCTTTTCCAATCCTAATTAATCCCCCTGCCAGGATTCTTTCATCTTCAAAGTGGCTACAGTCCTTAAAAGCTTATAGCATCTTGGTGTGGCTAGGGGGCAGGATTAGCACTGCAGAGGTTCAGAGCCATGAAGGCCTTCCCTTGTCTCCTTTTCCATGATACTATAAGCCTGAGAATGCCAAGTTCCACTCCCCTCACCCTTTTAACAGACGGATGGTCTAAAATTCTGTGGCTCCTCTAGAACAATGAGCAACCTCAGTGAGCTGTTTTCGACTCCCCCCTTCTAATTTGTAAATTAATTTGTTTTGACACACCTGGAGAAGTCTGTAGAATTCATACTTAATTGTCCTACTATAGGGTCATCATGTATTTCTGTGTTACAGTATTCATACTTCAAGCACTAGTGTGCAGTCTCACAATGTGTACAAACATGTAGAATTAAAACATTACCACTCTGTGAAAAGATTATCCTTAGGCTGCACTTCAGTGTTAACAGGAGTAAACTGTTTGTTCAGTCCGGGACTGTGCTACATCCAAATACAATATTTTAAAATGGATAGCACAATAGAGGCCCAGTGAAAAAATGTGGAGGTTCAAGATGCTGTAAGCACTGCTTGGACAGAAGGCCACTGGGAGACCCATGTAGGAGGCCGGAAATATAATAAATATATTTTTTAAAATACTGCAGAATAGATGCAGAACTACAGCAGCCTTGCAAGCAATTACTGGTGGGTAAGTGGGGGACCAAGAGAGAATTCACTCTATCATGGCTGGGGTCACCAGTCATTTCCCTCCAGGTAACCTTTAAGGCAAACACAGACAGAGTTACATGCACTGCCTGACATAGGGGTCTTTCCTTATGTAGTGAATGAAGGGCTTGGCAAGAAGAAGAAGAAAGACAGTGGGCACATGTTCCACACAGGCTGCCGTTTGGGTGATCCCTGGGGCCAGAGTAGAGAAACAGATTACCAGGCTGTACTACAGGAAGCATAAAAAATCCCTTTCCTCCACTTTCTCTTGCACAGACTTGTGAATATTTTAGTCCTCATTATGCATCACGTCATAGCTCTGCTTATACAACACTGAAAAAAAGTATTGCAGAGAGTTATTTTCAGCACAAAACTACTCTGTTTATTTCTCTGACTTCCTGTTAGCCAAGGCTGCTTCCATATTAGCTCTACTCTGCCTATATCCACCTGCACTTCCTGGCAGCCCTCCTATCCTCCAAACAGCTGACTGGCTGCAATGAGGTCATTTTCCTATTACTTTTCCAACAGGCTTCATTCGCCAGTTTCTAAGATTTTAAATTCAGTTCTGCTTTCCCCCCAACTTTTAATCTCCTTTGGATTACCAAATTATTAGCTTCCTCTGCAAATGCCTATCTCTTCTCCAATACTTCCTCTAAACTGTGGAGTCTTGTGAGCAAAAATTCTACTTTGTGAGCTACTAGCATCAAAGTTGGGAGCACAACTATAGAATATCACACAAATCACAACAGGTCACAGTCAAAGGCGTATAAAAATAAATACGAGATATTCCTACAAAACTCAACATTTTGTTAATGATACTTTCCCCCTGAAACGACAGACAGACCTTTAAAATCTGGGAAGGGTAAGGATGCTTTATTACTTAGATGGCTATAGTTCATTTCTCTGTTGGAGGAAACCAAATTAAAATGGTTTTCATGTTACAGTAATCTTTTGCACCAACTTTTCATCTAAACATCAAAGCACAGAGGAGTGTGAAAAGGCAAATAAAAGTTTTAATAAAAGGTAATTGTGAACCACTGTGAAGCTTCTGAAGAAGTGGGGTCCAGCTCATGGAATCTTATGCTGGAATAAAATTTGGTTAGCCCTTAAAGGTACTGTAATACTCCTGTTTACTTTTGAGAAACATCAGTCTCTCAGCTCGTACAACCAGGCAATGCGGTGACATTACTGCAAACATGCTGAAAGATACTTGCTTGGCACATATCTGCAGCTTATTGTACTTTTAAACAAAGTTTCCTCACCTAGTGAAGCATATGATCCTGGAGGTAGACCAGCGGCTGCTAATCGTCCAGTTCCTGCTGGCTGGCCAGCACCATGACGTGCCTTAGCACCAGCAGCGGCATTAACGTCAATGTCACTGCGAGACCTCTGCAGCGTTCCTGGGCTTGGAGCAGCCTTGGTACTCCCTGCAACTATGAATAAAAGTGGGGTGAAAAACAACTATTTAGCAGCCCTTTCCTGTTAAAGATATATTTAAATGCTTTAAAGTCTCAAATTATAAAGGAATATAATCTTAACATGGTCTTTTTAAAAAAAAGAACTTTTAAGAGGAAGTCTGGATTAGTTTCTCTATGGGAGAAAAAGCAAGAATTACCTCTGCCAGCTACACTTGCTGAGCTGGATGTGGACCATTTTGAAGAGAAAGGACGACTGAAATAAAGGCAAACAACACAGGCAAGTTGTTATATACTTTTAATAGGGAAAGGCTCGCTTTCCTCTTCACCTCTACATTTTATGTATTTTATGACGTCAACAGACAGATGCCTAGAGTAGCAGTTAAGATGCTGGGCTACGACAGGGGAGACCTAGGCTCAAATCCCCAATTGACAATCCAGTGTGGGCCAATCAATCACCCATTCCCAGACTAAATGACCTTACAAGATAAAATTGTAAGAGGAGAATCCCACACGCTGCCCTAAACACTTTGCAGAAAAGCTAGGACAAAAATAGGCTATACTGACAACACACTAGCTACAATGTATGAATAGCAATGGGTCACTGTAGACAAGGTACAATGAGTTTCAAATCAGATGAGATACTGCAAAGTTCATTATTGGATTGTCCCAACATTCGTAAGAAGCCAGGTGAGGGAAGGAATAATTTAGCTGCTTTCCTCTGTGTGGTTTTGCTGGTCAAAAATCACACTAGCCCTTAAAAGGAAAAAAAATATGAGAGGCCTGTCTTTTTTCCTTTGAAAGTTAATAACAGTAAATAACAGAAGACACAGTGTTCACAACACTATCAAGGCTTATAATGAATATCAGTCTTGTACAGCTAGCAAGTGCCTAATAATAATAATAAATTAATAACTATCGTATGGCATTGTGTGTAGAACAGCCAGGAGATCCTAAGATTGTTTGGCAGCCAGACGTTCTAGCTCTTTTTTTTTTAGCGTTATGCACCACTAGGCAAACTAGACTTGTTTTTTTAAAGGCAAGAGACATTCAAGAGATGGTGGTTTGCCACTGCCTGCCTCTGTGTCACAGCCCTGGTATTCCTTGAAGGTCACCCTTCCAAATACTAGCAAAGGCTGACCCTGCTTATCTTAGCAAGTGCCTAATCCAGCAGGTGCCCAACAGCCAGTGTGGTGTAGTAATGTGTTGGACTACTGGACCGGTCACACACTCAGCCTAACCTACATCACAGGGTTGTTTGTGAGGATAAAATGAAGGAGATGAGAGTGATATAAGACCTTTTGGGTCCCATTAGAGAGAAAGGTGGGGTATAAATGGAGTGAATAAAGTAAAATATTTGTAGGAAAAATGGTATTTAAATGTGACTAGATATGCCAGAAAATGAGTGGAAATGCACATCCCATTTGAAGTAATGCAATGTGGACAGACAACATCTGCATTCAAATGAGCATTCAATTTACACTGGCAATTTCCTCATCCATCAAGTAAAATACATCCTTTCACAAGTATCCATGCATTGATCTCCTTATCTGGACCAGGGAAAGATGATTATTTCAAAAACAGCCCTTACTTGAGGCTTTCCTGTGAGCTGGAAGATGACCTGTCTGACTGTGGAAGTGATGTGACGCTACCAGAATTTTTCAAGTATGTCTGGAGACTTCTTTGATAGGATGGTTCAAGATTATTATACAGCACCTCTGCTTCACCTGGAAAATGATTCCTTAGACCTAGGTAAGTCCTATAAATCAATCACAGAAATAACATTAAGTAAGAGTTGTAGAGCCATTCAAGCATTTTTGATTAAGGTAACTACTAAGATAAATAAGTTAAGAAAATTTCATTCAAAAAATGTTTGAACCAAGCCTATATCTAGAGTAGCAGCAAAACTCAACAGCCTACTATTAATTTCTCTTTTCCTGTTTAAAGGAAACTAAGCATTTAAGACTAGTAAAAGAACGTTTATGTCTTACTTTCTTGCCTCCACTCTTGCTTCTGCATCAGCATCATGAATGCCCTTTTTGATAGTTTCAACTAAGACAGCTGCATGCCTATCAGAGAAAACCCAAATCTATTATTAAACATATTATTTGTGATAACATTAGAAAAATAAAGATTAAGGAAGTGAATTTTAAGTCTTCTGTCCGATAATCTAGGGAGTGAATTCCCAAGCAGAACCAAGAGCCCTGAGTGCATACAACAATTTACAAGCACTCTACACTAAGGCTGCAGACTGACAAGGGTAATTGGAAGCTACAACAATGCGATCCAGTGCTTCACCAAGGAAGAGCACACTGCTAGAACACACTTCCAATACTTTACATCCTAGCAAGATGTATAGAAAATAGCAATACACGAATACTAGTTCCT